CCCCTCAAATATTGGAAGACCGCTATCATGTCTCCCCTGATCCTTCTCTTTACTAGGCTAGCTAAGCCCAGTTCCTGCAACCGTTCGTTGTATGTTTTAGCCTCCAGTCCCCTAATCATCCTGGTTGCTCTTCTCTGCACTTTTTCTAGAGTCTCAACATCTTTTTTATAATGTGGTGAACAAAACTGGATGCAGTACTCTAGGTGTGGTCTTACTAAGGCTTTATAGAGTGGTATTAGTACCTCCCTTGACCTTGATTGTATCCCTCTGTTAATACAATTTAGGATTACATTAGGTTTTTTGGCTGCTGCTGCACACTGCTGGCTCATATTTAGCTGGTTGTCCACTAAGACTCCAAGATCCCTCTCACAGTTACTGCTATTGAGCCTGGTTTCACCCAGTCTATATGTGTACTTTTGGTTTTTCTTGCCTAAGTGTAGGACTTTTACTTTTCTCTACATTGAATTTCATTTTGTTAGATATGGCCCAGTGTTCTAGTCTGTCAAGATCCATCTGGATCTTGAGCCTATCTTCTTGGGTGTTAGCTATTCCTGCCAGCTTAGTATCATCTGCAAATTTGGTAAGTTCCCCTTCTACTCCCTCATCGTTAATGAAGATATTGAAGAGTACTGGGCCTAAGACAGAACCTTGTGGCACCCCACTGCTTACTTCCCTCCATGTAGACTTCGACCCATTAAGGAGTACTCGTTGAGTACAGTTTGCCAGCCAGTTGCAAATCCCTCTGGTGGTGGTGCTATCTATTCTACTTTTTTCTAGCTTACTAAGAAGCTAGCTTACTAAGAACTCTAAGTTCAAGAATTTAGGCAGTATGTGTTTATGTGCAGCATAAAGTTGAGTTTCTTGTTTTCATTGTGTACCCAGAAAGTTTGATTGATTCATTTGCTGTTTCATTTGCAACAGGGCTTGAAAAGCAGCTGACTTTCAGATTCTAATAATCTAAATATAGGCTGGAGTTACTTGAGAAGTTAAAGATACCATCCTTAGGCAACAAGCCCTGCAATGATGCTCTGCATATTGCTTCAAGAGAGGAAAAAATAGATGGGAACTGAACAGGTGGAGAACAATAAATCTTTCTTGAACTTGCTGTTTCATTTTCTTCCCCAAAGCAGCTGACAAATTCTGTACAAAGTGTTGTGTACGTTTATTATATTCCAAATGTGATATGTGCTACAGGAATAGCTACAAATAACTCACAGGGATGCAGAATTAGGTAAAAATAAAGAAGTCTATCAATTGGTTTATATACTGATATCTAGTATCCATGCAGACTGATAATGTGAAACAATCATAACACGTTCAGTTTACTGTGGAAGATTCACAGTACTATATTGTATACTATATTAAATTTAGGAGAGGAAATCCAGCAAAACAATAAAATGAAAGCACTACTTTACATCAGCATGATCAACACAGGTTTTTAACAAGTGCATGACATGAATTAGGATATATTTAGCAATAAGGATTGTAAAAAAAAGCATACAGTATTAAACACTGTTAATTTCCATATTTTGAAAAATTTCAATACAACCAATCACATACATTATTGAAAAATATATTTATTTCAAAAATCTTATATGTACATTTCTTTATAAAGAAATACATTTTCTCTGAATGATTTTTTTTTTATGCTACAGAGTGATTTCCATTAAGAATAGTAGGAGAAATTCAAAACAGACAATTTTAGCTCATGATTCATTCTGGGCACCGTACCAAAACCTGAACAGATTGAAGTGCTATAACACCCAGAAGGAAGGTAGGAAAACAGGAAGGTTTTCAAGATCATCCTAGTTAGAGAATAAAATCTTTCTTAAGCTCTGACACTTAAAAAAATTATTGTGCAGTGGTTGCAGTATTTCAAAGGCATTAAAAATTGGAATAAACTTTCCACATTATAAATTTGGAGGTTACAGCCCCTGCTTTACATAGGTAATTAAAGCTGCATTCAAGCTACATAATAAAAACACCTGTAATTCCATTGCTTTTAGGATTTTAACAACTGTACAGAACATCTGCTGCACATCAAATGCTTAATTAGCTATTGCACTGTGCTTATCTTCTGTCTCCTTCTCTCTGCTGTGCTTATAACTACGTCTTTACTAAGATGTAGAGGTCAGCCTCCAGGTTCACAGACCTAATCAAGTTACTTTTAAGCCATATTTTTCATGACAATAATCTATTCCAAAGCGGCAGCTTAGGGAAACCTTTCTGTCTTTATGACTGGATATGTGTATTTGCTTGCAGCCCTACATTGGCTGCCTATGCCATGAAAATAGGTATGTGAACTCCAAGTATGCTTGGATATAAAAATATACAAATGTGATTTTATATATGTATCTGTTCACACTTCTAAAATAAAAATCTATTTATAAACTATTGCAAATTCCCCTTGGCACAGCAACTAGGTTGCCTCGCATTTCCAACTGAATATGTAAGCTGTAGGAATGTGCAAAATGTTCCACACAAAATTTGCTCTGGACATGGAACAGCTGGTTTCATGTTGTCCATGTCTAGTGTTCCCAGGATTGTTTCTTCTAGATGGGGATAAAGGCATCTCTCCCTGATAAGAGGCAGGGAGAAGAAAGAATTGGCAAGATCTATGGGCAAACAGACAGTGGAGAGTATGTGTTGTTGGAATCTTTTCATTCTATAAGAAACACTTCAGGATTCCCACAGCACCATTTATACCTAAAAAGAAGGTGGGGTTTCATCACACATTTTTGATATCCCCTCCCCTCCCTTGCCCTTTACACTTTCTCTGAATCCTAGAACACAATTTATTGTTTTTGTTAAACTGCAATCAATTGAAGATACAATGGCTTGTGCTGAGTTTGAAACAAAATGTTACTCTTCTTCAGCACATCTATATACAGCACAATAAGTTATTGATTACATTCTAAATGGCATAATAACAATTTTTACAAAGGCATACGATGAGCCAATGTCCCTCTCCAAATTTGTCAGTTTGAAAATTATGGTACAAAAACCATTAACTCAATAGTTTTAAGGGAACTGGCATTTTGTAAAAGTTAAAATTTAGGAAAGAGGAGGTTTCTATATGGTATATTCAATCTTCCAAAATATACTACAGTGGTACCTTGACCTTTGTCGGTAATCCATTCTGGAAGATGCTCCAAATACTAAAACCAGTGGGGTAAGCCACGAGACAATCATGTGACTTATTCACTTGACACATTATTTTAGCTGGAAGAAATAGTGAGTCACGAAGCTGCCAACATCAGTACTTACTTCCTTGCAACTACTGGGAGAAAAACAATCACCAGGAAAAGAAACAGTTGAGTGCCAAGGTATATCTGTATATAAAGGTAAAAGTTCCCCTTGCACATACATGCTAGTTGTTTCCAACTCTAGGGGATGGTGCTCATCTCCGTTACAAAGCCGAAGAGCCAGTGCTGTCCAAAGACATCTACGTGGTCATGTGGCTGGCATGACTAAATGCTGAAGGCACACGGAACACTGTTACCTTCCCTCCAAAAGTGGCCCCTATTTTTCTACTTGCATTTTTACATGCTTTTCAACTGCTAGGTTGGCAGAAGCTGGGACAAGTAATGAGAGCTCACTCCATTACGCGATGCTAGGGATTCGAACCGAACTGCCAACCTTTCTGATCAACAAGGTCAGCGTCTTAGCCACTGAGCCATCACGTCCTACATAACTGTATATACTAGGTCAAATTAGAGAGTAACAAAAATATGGGTTTTTATTTGTTGTGTATCATTTGTATCCACTGGTCAACCATTCAAGGTTGGGAACAAGGCAGGGGGCTTATCATTCATCATTGCTTTATTGTTAAATATCTTTTAAATAGAATATAACCATAGGAATGTTTTTAATTTATATTTATTTTTAATAAATAAATGTGCAGAAAAAAACAAGATTAGCCTATTCTAGTAGTTTTAGTTGTATTTTCAGTTAAAAAAATACTAAACTCTGTTTAAGTGAATAAGCAGTTCCAGCTAGTTCATCATATGGATTCCGTTTCCAACTGTGTAACCTTTGACATCTATCCCCTTCATTGCCTTCCTAATAGGGGTCAACTACAGGCTTTTTCCTTCCTTAAAACATTTAGATTTAAATGGCTTCTCATAGTGTCAGGAACAGAAAACTTTTTTATTAGCATACAGTTTTCATATTCACTTTACACAGATCGCCCCTTAAACTAAATAACTGATTCACACAAGAGGGAGCTACTTTGTAGTAAATGATACTATTCCTCAGTCCAGACTATTCAACTTAATAGCAGCTATTCAGTTTTAGTGCAGCAGCTTTTTCCCAAGTTAATATTTGGGGGTCACCCATAACTAAATAAACCCAAACCCACCCCCACTTTAAACATACTCACACATTCATGTTTCAAGGCTGGTTGTATTGCTATCATCTGGCGTTGTTAATTCCATTTGACTGAAATCAGTGGCATAGTCTATGTCTTACATTTTTTTAAACAAAGATTATTCAAAGGAGTTCTCGGGCTACAGCTATTGCATTGCTTAGCATGCAATAGGCACACATCCTGTCAGAATAGAGCTTCTTAAATTACATTAGAAAACGTTAGTAGAGAAATTGTTTAGTGTGCATCTCATTTTTATGAACTCTTCCATACAGATATTTAACATTAACTGTTCTTTAAAATTAGGCCTTGGGGCATATGATAATACTGGACAGTTCAAGTTTTAAAACTTTTGAGAACCCATCATATTCATGACCCTAAACTAATCAGGAATTAGATTCTATAACTGATGAAATCATATTAAAATGTTGTGAATGTATCTGTGACAAGTGTTCTACATACACACAGAAATGCTTGTTTCTATTGCCAAATATTTCTAAAATATTCCTCATTTCTGCGATTGTGGCTTATGATTTCTCTTATTACATCAACTTAAAATTGAGTTGCACTAGGGAATGGGTTAAGGAATTTTATTTATTTATATTTACGACATTTATATGTCGCCTCTCTTAACCCCAAATCATTCTAATATGCTCACTTTAGAAGATGTATTGAGGATCAATTTCATAATTCAAACCCCTCTTTTAATATAATAATTACATGACTTTCCCCTCTTCTCCCCCCTCTTTTATAGCATTGAATTTGTCTTGACTCCTAATAATAACATGCACTAGTTTCTGTGATTTTCCTGGCAACATGTTTTTGGAAGTGTTTTGCCCTTGCCTTTTTCCTTGAGTTAAGAGAGAAAGTGTTAAAGGCAGATAAAACTTCCTCTTAGTCCAATGCCTTATATTTTAGAAAACCAATTCAGCAGCTTTCCTTTAAGATCCAGTAGTTGAAGCTTTGGGTGTTAAGGAAAAAAAGCAACCTAAAACATGATGGAAAATATTGTTCTTTGATTTTATGTTAGGTATATATATATATATATATCTGTCTCCCAGGAATTCAACAATAACCAGACCTTGTTTTGAAATATGACCTACTTACCAATATTTGGCTGTGATGTCAACTGTGCCTGGAAAGCGCATGTCTGACCTTTCTCAAAGTTACTTGATATGCAGCTCTACACAATAGGTGTGCCACAAGCAAAAGAATTTAACACATTGCTATTCAATGTTTCTTAAGTTATAGGACAAGACCATTATAAGTTCTTGGTAAAGTAAATGATGGAAAAACAGAAGGATGACAGAACTCAAAGCATATGTGATTAAAAAAACATCTCAAGAATATAAGGCCTTGGAAACAGGGATGTTTCGAAGATATTACATGTACAACACGTGTAAAATAAGCTGACTGTGGAAAAATCATTCCAAATAGTCTTCAAAGAAGCAGATAAAAAACGGATTCCATCTTAATCTGTTCTCTTCTCTGAAAAGTTGTCTGAAAATAAATAATACAACAGTTTCTCCAAACTAAAGATGCTTTGTCTTCCAGAGTGATGCAAAAGATAAACTAATATGAGAAGATCAGGTTTTTCAAACTTCATAGATGTCATGATTTTCTGAACCATCCCTTTGACATCTTGTACATCTTCTTCATGCTGTAGATCAATGACTTTTTCATCCCTTTAAATTAAGAAATATTATGTAAATAACGGATGGAAAATTTAAATGGGATAGAATTCAACACCCTACATTCATAAACTTTGCAATGTAACCTATCAGCTGCTGAGGGCACTGCAGCATAAATTCATTAGAGAATTTGTTGTGGTAATTGATTAAAGCAGTTAAAGATATGAAACACTTTTTCCCATTCAAAACTGCTGGGACTCTTTTCTTTTACTATTCAAATACAAATTAAGAAATTCTTAATTTAAGATTCACGAAGTAGCTTTTTTGGTTTAATTGCTGTTACAAATTATTATAAATGATTATTAGTTTGATGACAGCTTTTCATTATTTGTATTATTAGCATTAATAAATATTAAAGAATTTTATGTGACATTAAATAAACTGCTTTCCTTTTCCATGATCACTCTTGATTCTTGTTCTCTGTCAATATCAATTTATGCCTTAGGAAGCCAAAGAATAAGTTTAGTCAATTACCCAGGAGGTTTTTTTATTACCTGATAAATCACCCTACCATTTCATGGTTAACTCTAGCCTATTTGACAAGACTTATTGATTTATCTATTAAAGTAGTCCCCAATACATTTCTGAAAAAGTTAGTTTACCCTGCTGTCTCTTGTGAGTCCAGACTCCAGAGGAGGAGAAGGCAAATGTTCAAGATTTTAGTCAATCTTTTTGTGTTATGATGCAATTATATAGCATATGTGCACACAATTGTCAAAGTAGTTCTTTCTTAGTTTTACATTTCATCACTTCTTAAACTTACTGCTATTCCCACTCTATGTAAATGAAACCAATCCCCCATCCTTTGAGGGTACATCTAAGTCTAATATAGCAGTCTGATTTCTATTTTCACTTCCGTATAACCTTACAAACAGTGGTTGCTTCATTTATTATGTGCCTTTAATGCTTGTTATATGCATGTAATACAGAATATTTTGTTCACTTGAAGCAAAGTAATATTTATTAAAATGAATGTCAAGCAAAGCACAATGGAAAGCAGATCCTGTCCATACCCCAGGAAGGCTGTCCCTATGGACATGAATAAGTTTTGACCTTTAATTATCCCATGACTTATTTGCATTTCTATTCACTTTTGTTCATGCCCTCCATTTTGACTTGAATAACTAATGTTCTAAGCACATCTGGGGTCTGAAATACATTTCAGTATTTGACCATCTGGGGACCTCTTTACTAAGACAACAATAACTTGACTCTCTTTACTTGACAACAACAGTGACTCTACGTGACTCATCATTCAATTATAATGCAATATAAAATATTAAAACAATAGAGATCTTGAATTTAAAATTTATATTTAAAATTCAGTTAGAATAAAATTTAACAAGAAGAGAGGGAGGAAGTAAAGTGTGCAAGGAGAGAAGATGGAGTGCTATCTAATCCATTAGTCACTTCCTAAATGCCACACCATGTTGGGGCCCAGGCCAGTTGGATCAACCATGTCCTCAAGCCCTTTTGGAAGGTTGAAAGAGTGGATGCACTCTTGTCTGGGCTCTATGACAGAAAAAGCTCTTCTGGACCCCACCAGCCAAAATTCCTTGGCAGATAAGGTACACAGCATGCCCCTTTAGCCAGCATGGGGTGAAATGATTCCTCAGACAGCCTGGACTCATGCCATGAACCGCTTTAAAGGTGAATCACCATCTTGAATTAGACCCAAAAGCAAACTGGCAGCCAGTGCAGTTCGCAAAACAGTGGTGTAACGTGGGCCACACTAGTGGCCACAAGAACTGCCCACGCAGCTGGGTTCTGCACCAGCCGAAGCTTCCAGATACTCCAAGATTAGCTCCAGGTAGAGTGCATTGAAGTTCAAGTGTGAGATGACCAGGGCTTGAATGACTGAGCACAGGGACTCTCGATTCAGGAAAGGGCACAACTGGCACACAACACAAAGTTGCACAAAGGTTCTAGCATGACAGTCAAACCATTCCTCAAGCAGAACCCCAAACTGTATACCAGGTCTATCTGGGATACAACCTCATCCAGCGCTAAAGACAATAAAGTCCTAGAACTAGAAGTTCCACGTACCCAAAGCTACACCGCCTATATAATTATATAATTCTCAAAAAGGGAAAGTGTGCCTTTTTAGATGCTTGTAAATGATAACTCCCAATATTGGCTAGTACAAATGGGGAGAGAACCTTGAATTTTTAGTTCAGCAAAATGGAAGTTGGGGAATAACTGATTCTATGCATTAATGCATATCCCTCTCCCTCTCTTTCCCTCCCTCCCTCTCTCCTCCCCCACCCTCACAAAATAAAGAAGTCCTATATACAACTAGCAAATATCTTGGCACATCATCTGTGTATAAAGGAAAAATAAAGATTATTTGAGAACAAAAAATACAATTGAGAAATAAAACAAATTGAAAGTCACAAGGAGAACTGCATGTTTTAAGAGGGCAATGTTGAAAAAAGGCAAAAATGAAACAGAACACTATGGAAGAAGACATAACTACAGTAGTTGACTTACATGCTAATCAAGAACACTCTGAAGTACAATATTTCATTAAAACCTTGTTGCAGTGTTTAGTTCCAAGGTAGTGAACTTTTCTCCCTATGGCTATCACCATGTACGTTGTACTGTTACAAATGGATTTAGAAATGTGAATTATAGCCAAACAACCATACATGTATAAATCTGCAGACAAAATCAGTGTTATTTTGCTTATGTGATGAAAAAGAATCTAGAATCTTACTAGCCTAATATACTATATTTTTCAGACTATGAGACGCACTTCCACCCCAAAAAGTGGGTGTAAATGTCTATACGTCTTATAGTGAACACTGCTGAAGCCCCGCCCACCCACCAGCCCCCACCCTTCGGCTTCTACCTCCCAGCAATTTGCCTCCTTGCAGCAAACAGTCTGGTCAGCTTCAGTACAACCTGATTTAACACAATTTAGCATTGGCAGTTGAATCAGCCTCCTGGCATACCAACGATCAGCTGTTTCAGGCTGCAGGAATCACTGTCACCCTTCAGCGCTGTCGCCACCCATCACCACTGCCACCTATCGCTGCCTCTGTGTGCCCCATTTTTGGCCTCCACGCATCCAGTTTTCCGCCCATTCCAGCCAGCGGGGATAGGTGAAGGCGGCAGAATGGACCAAAAATGAAACACTCAGAGGCTGAAAATGGGGCACGTGGAAGCAGCAATAGTTGGCAACGCCGATGGATGGTGCCAGCACCCGCAGCATGGAACAGATGATCTGTGGTATTCCAGGAGGCCGATCCAACTACCAATCAGCTGCTCATGCTAAATCAGGCTGTGTGTAGCTGACCAGGCTGTTTGCTGCAAGGAGGCAAATTGCTGGGAGGCAGAGGCAGGTTTTTCTCCCCTTGTTTTCCTCCTCAAAAGCTAGGTGCATCTTATACTCTAAAAATGCAGTAGTTTATATAGCTTAAGGGTCCTGGATTTTTATGGCATTCTTTAAAAAGGTGGTACAGTATCTTCCTGTGTATGTTTTCTCAAAAATTATCTGTCCAAGGACAGATGAACCATGCAAGACTACACAACTTCTCCAGGTGTCTAAGCTTTCCCTCATCCAGGTGGGACATACATTACAGATTTAGATGTTGAGAGAATGCCTAGAGTTTGCAGTCTCTGGAAGCCTCTAGCCTGTGTGCTGTTGGAACCAATGTTGTTTTAGGAGCTAACCCTGCCTGTTCAACCAGTATATTTGTAAGTAAATATTATAAACTCTTCAGGAATCCCCTCAAGGAAATCAAGCACATTAGAGGCACCTTTTAGAAATTTCAAATAAACCCTCTTCTCAATTAATGAAGTGCAGCAGGACTGGCAGGTAATTTTTTTCCTGATGTTGATGCAGCTACTGATATGCATTTGGTCAGCTCAAAATATATCTTATGGAAGGTTTCCATTTCAGGTAGAACTGAAGGCCATCCGTCATATAGAGACATCCTTTGCCTTATGCACGAATAGGCTATCATGGGTTTTGGCCACCAGAAAGCTTTTCAAAACTGAAGAATATAATAAATTATTTTGTAACTTCTAGTGCTAAGAGAAATATACAAAACAACATATTTTATCCAATACTTTATATGACACATTATGTAATTTAAATTGTATTATGCTGAAATTTGTCATGACAGTTCAGCTAATTCCATTCTTTTCATTCAAATACTATGACTTCTTCATCTGAATTGTTATTTAGGGAAGAGGACACCCAGCCTCAGAACTCAGGGAGAGGAGAACTCCATCTTTCAGAAGAGAAGAAGGATATTAGACATGTGGCATCCTCAATACCTTTGGGTGGATACTTCTGAAGTACTTTTGTAGAATCTCTTTCATAAAATGGGAGAGGCCACAGACCTGATGTACAAGAGTGACACTTAGCAAATGTGATCCAGTGGCAAACAAATTTAATAAATAAAAGAAAAAGTCTAAACAAGGTTGCTTCTGATGTTATCCCGAATATAGCAGCAGTATTAGAGAAGAAATGATTCTGTCTTTCTCTATATAACTCTCTCTGTGTGGTGTGTGTGTGTGTGTGTGTGTGTGTGTTTAGAGACAGAAAGAGATACACTCTGTGTGTGTATTTATAAATACACATCTGTCCATTTCTCCTCCTTCTAACTCCTTGATCCCACACTCATACTCAAGATCCATAGGAATGTATGCTTTCCACAAAAAGCTATACCTGACACAGGATCATTAATGCAAATATAAGAAAGCTTATTTTATTTCACATAAGTTTGCCAAATGTATTCTTTTTTTGAAACATCTAAACTGCAAATATTTCAGACATCTAAATTGCAAATATTTTATATGCCATAAAACCAAGAAGAAAAATAAATCCATGGATGGTGCCATTTCTAATAGAAACCAGACCCAAAGTCTTGTCACAGATTTAAAAAAAAACATATACCGACTTTCTTTTTCTTGAAGAGATAAACAGGGCCTCCAAAAGTAAGCAAAAATAAAAAAATAAAAAATAGGGCTCAAGCTAGTTTTAAACCACATGGGCTCCACAAGATGAAATCATGTTAGATGGCTGAAGGCCTTTGTATTCTTTACCAATGTTTAGAAACAGAACCTGCCAACTACATAATAAACCCTGGATGGTCTGTATGTGCTGCAGAACTTAGCAAGGACCATTTTACCTGTACTTCCACAGGTGATGACTCAGGTGTTATAGATCCAGGTATTTGACTGAAAGAAATAACTGCTGCATGGCAGCTCAGCAACATTTAACATTTACAGCCTAGCAGGATCTAATTACCAACCATATTCAGAATCCTGCTGAGATGATGGTAGCGGTGAGACTAGAGGGGTGAAAGGCAAATTACTAACGTAATGTCTGGCCTAAAGATACTGCCTAAAGCCTGCTGCCATTAAAATCTGAATAAAGCCTGTGTGGGAAAGAGGAAAAGGGGTGTAGGAGATGGGTGGATAACGTAGCATGAAAAATAATAGTCATGCAGGTCTGTGCTAGTTCAAAGCCTCATTAGAAGAATTACAGCTGTAACAAGAGAAGGATGGTTAAGTGGTTAAACCGGTATCTCTGTTCACAGCAAAATATATGAAAAACACCCACACAACAGTCAAACTTAATTGGGCTTATATCTTAAAACATCTGCTGCACTGCTACAGCCATTGCACTGATGCAGAGAGGCCATTCAACTTATCAGTAAAACAGAATGAGTTAACTCATTCAGAGTCAGGTTATACAGGGATTCCTACCAATTAACAAGTTTTGACCACGGGGCTAATGCTCCATTATGCAGGTTCTAGCAACTGGCCGAAGTGGCAGACATGGAAAGAATTATCTCAACTGAAATCAGTTTGTTGCAGAAAGCACTGCAGACTATTAGAAACTTGACAAAAAGGTTTCATAATATTCCTAAACCAGGAACCAAAGCAATAAAAAAGCAGAACATCCTCATTTTTATATGCTTCCTTTCTTTGTTGATATAATTAAGGGCAATAGTGGAACACATGGAAAAAACTAACTCTTACATGGACATACAGTGAGGAAAGAAAAATATGTTATCCCAACAAAAATATAACACTGAAAACATTGAAGCCCTTGATATTAAGTATCCTTCTCAAAGCAGGGCTATATTTTTAACATTTCTAGATAAAGCAATGCCATGTCTTGCTTTTCCAGTCATCTCACCCTCCTAGTAAGATGTAAACTGGCTTACCTCTTGATATATGGCCATTATATCTTACTTGCTATCAGTTATTGCTAGTGACTAGGAAATAGCTCAGGGGTCTGATGTTAAATGAAATTGTCTTACCCATTACAGAGGGGGGGAAATGTAAAATTGCAACTGTGTTATTGGCAGCAGACCCCATTCTCCTTGTGGGAAGCTCTAACTTCACATTCCATGGAAAAAGCTACATCTGGGAAAGTTATTGCAGTTTTGTGATTAAAAAATAATATAAGTTTCAAACTCAGTCTCTGCAAAGGATTGGAAATGATTCCAGTCTTGGTAGACATTTTTCTAAAAGCCTAGATTTTAAGAAAACTTTGTAAAATGTTTTTTTTTAATTTTGCCCACATTATACTAGGAACATATGTCACATTGACAGCAATATGTGGTTTTACTCCCATAAATTGTTGAAACATTACTTTCATTGCTCTAATAAACATAGCTCCCATCATAAAGTTTTGCAGTTTTAGGTGTGTTCTATCTAAAGGTTTGAAAAACCCACATCAACAAAGCAAAGCAAAAAACAAAGCAAAGTAAAATCACTGCAATTAAAACTATGAGTTAAGTGTACTTGAAGTACTTTTTAGAACTACAGTTTATTAGCTCATGCAGTGCCCAGCTTAATAACTCATGAACTCATACAACCTATCACCTTAACGTACAGAATTGTTTTTCAATAGTTCAACAACATGTAGCAGCTTTGTCAGCAGAGAGAAAGAGAAAGACCCCAAAATTGAGAGGTTAGAATGGGGGCTCTCAATGGCAGGTAAGAACTAGCTAGGTTTGGAAGGTGCAGAAAGCAATTTAGTCACAGTATTAGTATCTTAAACAATTTAAATCAATGTTCCCCATTGTAAATTATTTTTATTCATGTTTCATTTTCCGTTTGCAAAAAAAAAAAACCTTTTGTATGTTTGAGTACAAGATTTGTCTTGAAAAACACTGCACACAAGTTCTTACCAGCTGTTAGGATGGTTTTAGCACTCTGAATTAAGGTGGACAATCCCACAATTCTTGAAATACCTGGGAAGGGGGAAGGAGGAGGAGGCATGGAAGGAGGGAGAAGATAAACGAAGTCAGATGTTACTCTTGAGATTATTTTTAAAAAGGGGTTTTAAACATTAAATATTATTCCAAAAGCAGATTAATGCACACTTGGCCGAATAACCGGGTGATTATCCCACCAAATACTACATATTTTTATTTTGTTGGCAAGATTCACATGTTTACTCCAACGTTTTTAATATGTATTATATAATATTGTAATACATGAACATTCAAATTTTCTGTTCTGGGTAATGAAGTGATCTTCACAAATAAAATTCAAGTTTTCCCTGCAGCCAATCATGACTATTTGCTATTAACCATATCTTGTTATTAATCTGAAATATTACAAGACATGTTCTTCCCTAAGAGATTCTAGAGTAGTATCTGGCTAAAAACACTATAAAGCAGCAAAGAATTAGAAAAAAATCTCTTTGGTCACCCAGAGGCCTTTGGGATTGTTATAGTCCACGTCTGCTAGCTCTGGTCAAGTTGCCTCATAAAAATCAATATGCCTCACCTTCCTTAATATGAACACATTGCCCTTTACCAGCTAAAATTGCTCTCACCTGGCCCACTCAGGTGGCTCATTGTCAGAAAAAAGAAGTAAGAGGCAAAAGTGGCAGTGAAAACTGCTAAATTCAAACAGCCAAGTACAAGATTAGAGAAGAACTAACAACCTGCAGGTCTGGACCTGTTTCCGTTGACTCCAAACAAGATTAGCTCATCTAACCACCCAAGCCCACAACAGCACCTGCAGTAGATAGCATAATGAAAGGCAGAAAAACATGAAAGGACAGGGTTGTGGGGAAGAATCTTGTGGGAACAGTGGTCTGCTCAGGAGCTACTATTGTTCCCAAGGAGCTCTGCATTCTAAAGAAGAGTCATATACACCAGCTAGGCTTGAATTGTATAAAATGCTATCCATTGACCCAGTGAAGGGTTGTTGTCTTTGCTTTCCTTGAATGCTGGTTCAAATCACACATCTGGACCACTGCAGCTTGGTTTGACTAGCTTCTCTATTTTGACTACACTGTGCTTAATCCCTGAATGTATTTACTGTTTTATTTTAGAATTCCAAATGACAACACCTCCCAATTCCAACATACAGGCAATCTAATGACAGTGGCCTTTATGCCAAAGTTACCCAGAAAGGCAGAAAAAGCAGAGTAGCACAGCAATGATTTTGGTGCTAAGTCCCTTTCCGAAAAGGGTCCATGAAGGTTCATTTAAGAACCCTGAAACTGACACAAAAGAATTTTTTCCAAAAGGCAACTGGACTTTTGTTGATTTTTTTCTTTGAAAATGTTTCACTTCTTCAGTTCTGAACTGAAATAAAATGTTTCAAAGAAAAAGAAGTCCAGTTGCATTTTAGAAAAAGCACCTTTGGGGAAACCATGTTCTGTATGATTGAGAATCTTCAAACACCTTACACTGAACACTTTTCTCCCAAAGGAGGCATGTGTGACTGGATGAATGCTGTGATAGTCATCAGGATCAAGTAAATATTTCTTAAGGTATGTCTCAGTCAGGAAAACTGGGGGCCATTGCTGCCAAACTGGCAGCAATTACCTGCAGGACCCACCCAGAAATCCCCTTCAGCTGAAACTAATTATAATTTAATTAATCTAATTAGTCAAGAGAGCAAAGGGGCAGACAGCTGATTAAATTTTCCAAGCAAACTGCCCATCTCTTTGCCCTATATTAATTGAAACTCATTTAATACAGCATAACCAGACTAGATGGTATGCTGGCAACCTTTCCAGAGTAACTTTCCTGACAACTATGGCTGTTTTGTATAATATCCCACTTTGCAAACACCATGGTTGTAGCATTTAAGATAGTGGGAAATTCAGGCTGAGAGCTGGAATTTCTAAATCCATCCCTGGACATAACTAAATCCCAAGGTCAGTCTCAAATTCAGCCCTGAGGAGCTTATAGGTTATTGGCTAAGACCCAACATCCAATGATAGTTCTTCATATTTTATGGCAATTGGCTTTTGAGCCAAATCATTTGAAATAGGGATTTTTTTTAAACAATAAAAGAGCTACCAAACCCAGGTCTCTACAGAAACCAACATGGTGCCAAAAATAAGGATGTGTGTACTTTTATGCTGTGGTGTATTTGGACTTATCATAACAACATTAATATGGTAATCATTTTGTGCAATTTAATAGACCAAGTGAGATCATTCAGTATGTTCATAACTCCCACCCCCAGGCACAGAGCTGGAATTTCTAAATACATCATTGGACACAACCAGCTCCCAGGTTCAATCCACAAGTTCTGCCTGAGGAGCTATAGTTTATTCAGGTGGCTATTGGCTAAGACTGAATGAATGGTGCAACCAATGAATGGGACACACCCAGTGATAGTTCTGCATGTTCCATGGTAAGTGGTTTGTGAGCCAAATTACCTGAAAGAGAGAATCCGCAAGTAGAAATTGTTGGACAAATATACTGAGAGAAGCTTGTTAGGCATGACTAAAGCTTTGGCGTAAGAACATAGCATTTTGAATTAGTCTTTATAGATTCTAAAATGGGCTGACACAAAAAGTATCAATTACATCATCAGCTTTGATACCACTGCTCATTTCTAGCCACATATACTTAAACACTATGGATTCTGAAACTACTATATACAAGATTGATTCTAAAATATTCTCTTCTGCAAATGAATTATCATTAAAGCCTACCTTGGTGTACCACAAATCTACAGTCAGGGTCATGGGCGACTTGTAATAAAATTTCTTCCACATCTCTGTTCTTCCCTGGAGAATCCTTGAGATAAGTTATTTTTTGCTGCAGGGTGCTTGGTAAAGCCATCAGTTGTGCAAACTGACCTTCTGGACTTTTATCTATCTAAAGATTAAAAAAGGAGCAGACACAGCTTGCTTTAACAACATAGAAAATTAGCAGCCCCATCAGAAACCAAGTTGCCAGTTCCTGGCGGTTATGTGCACTGACTTTCCTTCATGGTCCATTCATCCATAAAAGGGCACAGAAACTGGTTAATGCAGAAGGGAAAGCATCAATGAATATGAGTACATCTAGCCCAGTAGAGCGGACTGATTTGACTCAAAATTGTATCTGCATTTTGATCTTCATTGGCACTTACAAATGTTTTAAATACTAGACTGGACCTGGGTTGTTTACATTCAGAAATTTACTTATTTAAAGAACTTATATGGCTACCTATCTCACTCAATGAATCTATACTGCAACACTTCCTACTCTTCCCAACAAGGCATCAGAATCACCCATGAAATTTTTATAAGGCTTTTAAATTTTAACAAAAGATAAAATACAAGAAAACAAAAAAAGGAAAAAGTGGGTAAGAAACAAAATTGGGTTTACAGAAAAAGAGAAAAAAATATAGAAAAGGGTAACTTTGACTTTCTTCAGTATAGATACTAGCATAAAATAACATTGTTCTGACATTAGCTATAATACATAATACTTCTATAATCATAATCAGTTCTATCAAATCCCACACTTAAACTTTCATCTCTTTCACTTTCAAGCAAAAAGTCCAAAAGTGGTTTCCAAGTAGATACAAACCTAGGCAAAGTCTTTTATTTAATCAAAGCGGTCAGTTTTGCCATCATCTCTGCCAAATCCATTAACTTCACCAGTCTTTCCATTGTGGAAATATGTAAGTCTTTCCATTTCTGTACATATGAAAGTCTCACTGCTAGAATCACCCATATTACTGGCTCAACCCCATTCTAGTGCTATGCTTGGAGGAGCAGCCAAGTCTTCATGGCCTTCCAAAAGGCTAAAAGAATAAGGAGAGTTGAACTTCAGATGGAAGACTATACAAAAGTGTTAGGTGGGATGAGTAGTACCAGATGACAACTTATGAAAGAAAGGGACATGGAATGTGCACTTTCTATCTGGTTTCTGCCCTTCCAGACTCTTCTAGCCTCCAGTGAGCAAACACCTGAATAGCATCACTTGCGCACCATGGAGTAGACATATGTAACAATATCATACTGGACCTAATGCCTCCATCCAATAGTTTCATGTAGATCTTATCTTGGAGAGGAGACAGACTGGAGCCTGGAGAACCCCCCATAAAAGCCAATCTTTCTTTCCCACAAACATTTCCTGGTAATAGGCATGGAAGGAGGAGAACCACTTCAAAATGGCCCCCATTTCTAATCACCTCAGATGGTCTAGAGGCATACCATGGTTGATGGTATTGAAAGTTGTTGAGAAAAGGGCCAGGATGGGTGCATCACCTCAATCCTTTCAGAAGTCACCCACCTACATGGTTATCTACAAACCTAGAACCTCTGAGTAGGCAGAGAAAAAGATATAATACAGGATAAATGAAGAGACTGTAAAGGAAGGAAAATCTTAAATCTTAAGCAGATAGCCTTGGTCAGTATATAAATATGTCTTCAAAGACTGGTTTAAACATTTTTAATTCAGGCAGAGGTTTTTTTTCCAATTTTGAGCTAATAATTATATTCTATTTTCTATCATTTATAATCTCCAACAGAATCATCAAGTTGCTAAATATCACCACACAGTTCTCATTTACAGCAGAAAAATGTTTCCAAATGAGATTGGTCCAATAATTAATTAATTCATGAAACATGATTTATCTGAAAAGTTAACTTTTGCTATATGAAATTTGGTTTGTTTAGTCTTTGGATAATTTGTTATAAATCTTTACCAAATACATTATCCTCATTGCTTATATGGATTAATCATTTTTCCTGAAAACTACTGTAAATTAAACCAGGATTCATCCACCCAGGGGTGGGATTCTAACGGTTCTGTCCACCTCTGTAGAATGGTAGCTCTGAAGAGCAGCAAACATAGAACCGGTTCTGTCTGCTGATGTTTTTGCCCACCTGCCCACCTGGGGTCTTACCTGACCTTTATTTCCTGCTTTTTCAACTTCAGCTGCCATGAGAGGCACAGCTGCAGTTTAAAAAGCAGGAAAAAAGGGCTTTTTCAAAGGTTGCTTCTCTGCACTCAGTGTGCAGGGAAGCACATCGTAAATCAACGAACCTCGTAAATCACTGAACTGGTAGTTAACCCTGTCGGATCCCCCCTTGCATCCACCCAATATAAAGCAGAATATAACAAAATGGCATTTATTAATACATGTTTCTGTATGTATGTCTAGAGTCAGGCTTGACTCCTATCAACTACCTGGACAACTGCACAAAGTTTTTGGGACGTGTTTTGCTAGTTTTCTTCCAAGGGCTGGGGCAGAATGATTGCCCCAAAGTCCCCTGATAGAACCCTTGGTCTACTTTTCTAGCTCAATACCTTTAACTATGACATCAAAGATGACGCTCTTGAATACAACAAAATTTAGATTGACAGAATGACATTTCTAAAGTAAGATAACGCCTTACTTTTCCAGATACCTTAAGTAATCAAGCCACCTGGATATGCCAGGCTGGATAGCTTATTATTTAACATATCACGCTACTCAAAATAGTTTACTTTAAAAAAAAGCTTGCAATATTGACCTGCTTACCTCTAACTTGCCCAGCTGATGCTTGTATACCACTTGAGGGCTATCTTGCAAAATATGGCTATAGAGCTTCTGAAAATGTATCATGTTTGGTTTCACTATGTTCATAACCTTTGATTTATCTTCTCCAATGAGCATTCTGAAATCGCCTGAAGCAAAGTCAGATTATCAATATTTATATAGGCAACCTGTTTATAGAAATGTAGTTTGCCTTACAATTAATAAGATTTCTAATACTAGCTGCAAACTGAGACTTAAGTCTTTTCTTAGCAATTATTACACCAAAGCAGGGGTAGGGAACTATGGCTCCTTCATGACTTGGGGACTTCAACTTCCAGAATTCCTGAGCCAGGCATGCTGGCTCAGGAATTATGGGAGTTGAAGTCCCCAAGTCATAAAGGGGCCATAGTTACCCATCCCTTCACTACAGAAACAGTGAAAATGTGCACTGCAAAATATACACTGCACTAATGATACATAGCAAAGAAAATATAGCAAATACATGTCCTTGAGCCAGAAGATTCCACTTAAAATCACTAAGTTGTGAATCTCGCACTGTGGCTTTGGAACACCTATAAGCAGAATTTAGCTCACATATCTATTTTTAAAAAGTCCATCAAACATAGTAAGAGCTCCTTTTATTTAAAAAATGCAGTTTAGGAAACTGCAGGCAGAATATTAATTGCATTAGAATTCCTCAGGAGAGCCTTGCCAATTGGAAAAGTAATGGTGAGTCGACCTATGTGATAAAAAGAAAGACCACATTCCCATGACACCTGGCAGGCTCTCCTCCAGAGGCATTAGATTTTAACTGCTGTCCTTCCCACACAGCTCATGTACGTGGCCTGGGGATGTTGGGGGCTGTGGTCCAACACACATGGAGGTTTGGGGCAAGCTGATCTTATCAGAATGCCTATGCCATTTTCCTCTTAAACACACAGTTTGAACTGCAATTTGTGTCAGCCAGCAGGATGTGCCTTGACCTCTCCTGAAACAAAGTCATCTGCCTGATTTGATGGAAATAAATCCTAAAGAAGGCTTGAAGGTCTCCCTCACCCCCAACATGCCAACATAATATATTCCTTAGTTTTGAGTGCAAGAGCTGCATCTTTTATCTTTCTTTGCAATTCCTGGATTATTGAATTAAGCTTCCATTGTATAGTACTCCCTTTAACACCCAAATGTATTACATTGAACAAAAATTTGTACATCTGATTTAAGCAGAAAATCGCATATGAAAATATCTAAGAAATAAAATAATATGGGTGCTTTCTAGCTGATAGGATGCAGGCAATAAGATATTCAGCTGAAAGCCTCCAGAGACACTCACTTGTAGGAAATAAAAGCAGGCCAAATGCAAAAATGGGCTATGGCTGTGCAGTGCACACTGGCAATATGCCCAACTTGTCCTTATTATTAGCAGCAAACGATACATGTGGCAAATGTCACATTACAGCCAATGAAACCCTGCAGGGAAGCCAAGGTGTAGACTGGGCTACAATGAATGACAGAAAACATTTGGACTTCGGTGGTTGTGTATGAAGGAAGGAACCCATATGCTGGCAATAATCTTGTGTTAAGTTCTGATAATTAAGGATAATGAAAGAATCAGTGATGAGTTTGAGGGAAATTGTGCAATATTCAGAATAAATGTAATGGAGAAAAATTAGTCTGTTAAGCCACATAAATGCATAAGTGAGAACAGTCTGAGCTCTAAGAACAAAACGGATGTGATAAACATCTGTTTTGAATATATAATTTAAGTATATGTCCATTTGTAAATGTACATATGTTAAAGCAAAGAATTTAAAAGTACAAAGAACCTGATAATTTATAAAAATATAAACTGACAGAAGCAGTATAGGCTAAAAGGGCATTTTGAATGCGCGATACCATCTTATTTAGTAGTGGATTTGGGGGGAAAATAGACAAGAAAGAAGAGAAAAACGGGAAGAATCAAAAATCATAGAGTTGGAAGAGATTTTGAAGGTCATCTATCCAACCTCCTGACCAGCCCAAGAATCCTCATAGCTTTCTGGACAAAGACTGTTTAATTTTTCTTGAGAAACTACAAATTTAGGAGGCAGGCCATTCCACTACTTAAAAACTCTCACATCAGGAAAGTCCTCATTTTAAGTCTGGATCTCTCACAATTCAGCCTCTATTCTTTGGTTCTTGTAAAAGTAGGCAGCTTGCAAGAAGGAAGAAGATGAGTCCTAAGGTCAACCCTGAAGCTCACCTGAATGGACCCATCTTGGAGCTTCAGTGTTGCCACAGTGGAGCAAAGGATAGGGAGGAGAGATTAGAGATAGCTGGGCTTCTGTAGTCAAAATAAAAAACTTTCTCAAGACTTTCTCCTCGGACATTCTCACACCTGGCCGAGAAAGGGAGTGACTGATTGTTTGAGGTTGAGGGAAAAACTTACTTTTACTTTTGATTATGTGAAAACCAAGGGGCCCTTCAGAGTTGGTTTTCACCAGATATGTGCCAATATGATATTTCCAATAAAGCTATTCTTTGAGGAATTCACCTGCCTCGGAGTTTTTGCTCGCAATGGATTTATTACTTGGAACCCTGACGTCTGCATTTTCAGAATGGAAAATGGACAGCAAAAAAGATGTGGAAACTGCTTGGAAGAGAATAAAAAGGATGTTACAGAAGATTACAGAAGTGTGACAAGTTACATTAATGGGAAATATGGAAAATGCTGAAGCATCATTTTCCAGAATCTGTGAATGAAGAAAGATATGCATGTTAGAGGATGATGAAGAAAGGAGGTGAGAAAGATATAGTAATACGTTAATGCATAGAAAGGGAAAAAAAAGTTGTAGAGAATGTAGGCAAACAGCGAAGGACTACAAAAACATCCAAAAAACCTAAGAGCAAATGCAAGGAAAAGTGCCAAACGAGTATCCAACTGAGTGAATAGAATTGAAAATAATTTTAAGCTGTACATATGTAAAATCCAGAGCATTTCTTCCTAATAGTCTGTTAAATGCTGAGCCAACCATAAATAAAGTTGGTGCACATCTTTCATTAACAGTTACTTTCTTTAAAAAAAAAATCAATTATTAAACAATTTAAAAGCCATACTCACCACAATATGACAATCCAGCGATCTTCATATAAAGATCCTCTTCAGAGAAACTTTCAGGCAACATGAGAAAGGCTGCCATGACAGCACTCTTCAAATTACTAGTCAGGGCCTCTTGCAGCTTAACATTCTCATTCTGAGCCAGAATTTTCACCTGTAATCAGTTGGAAAATTTGGTCATCAAATAATCAACAAGCCATTTCATTAGAACAATCCTCTACAGCAGTGGTTGCCACCCAGTGGGCCGGGCCTACTGGTGGTCCGTGAGAAAATTTTGGTGGTCCACAGAGAAATGTCACCCCAAAGCATCCCCCGAAGCAATTAATCCAGGCTGCATGGGAACACAAGTCTGCATCACCCACATGTCCCGCGGGTACACCAGGCTTTCTCTCCCCAAAACTCCACCAGAAATGAGTCTTTGGGACCCTGCAAGGCATCTTGCTCCAAGAGGCTGTGCTGGTGCGACAAGTCTCACAAAGACTCATTTCCGGCAGAGTTTGGGGGAGAGAAAGAAAGACTTCTGCTGCTTCTGCTGCGTTCCTTGCACGAAGCCAAAAATCTCTCCCCACCACCCACCCGAGAATGAAGCTGGAGACGATATCCTGCAATCCCAAATAAAGAATGATCTATTGGTAGGAAACAGGGTGGGGAATTTCCCTGCAGACTTTTTGGGGGATTTTCCCAGGGTCTCCGGTCTGCGGGATTTAAAATTATGAGTTTGGTGGTCCCCGAGGTCCAAAAGGTTGGCGACCCTTGCTCTAAAGCAGGGATGTCAAATTTGTGTCATCACGGTGACATCACGTCCCCCCCCTTTGCTAAACTGGGCAGGACACGTCCGGCCCGCAGGCCACGAGTTTGACACCCCCTGCTCCAAAGTTTGTTTAAGGGATATCTTCAGAAATTGAAGCAAACATAAACAGGCCTTCATCCTGAAGGCAAAATGCTTTCCTTAGCTTAATTAAAAGGTGGGAACAAAAGATCTATGAAACACAGCCACAATGATAATGGTCTTTGAAATCAAGAAAATGTTAAGACTTTATGAAATGATATAGAAAAATCTACAGCAGCATAAGACCCCACACTCCAATTTATGTTTTTCAAAGCTTTTTTTCAAAGAACTTTGCCATTTCTGTTTTAACACACATCTCCTGAGGCAGCTTCAAACAGAAAAAAATGTGTACAATCTTGTTATGTGTGTTCATTGAAGAAGACTTCTTTTACTAGATCTGACTCAATACGTTGAAAGAACAAGTATTGCCTCTAACATCATCACCATTTGCTCAAATGAAAAAAAAAATCTACAAGATGAGTGAAGGAGACAGCTGGAACTTGACTGAATAAAACAATATTTTGTGATAGAGTTCAGTTTTGCAAACATGCAGAAAGCACACAAACATCACTAATTCCATGACAGAGGCGTGATTGTATCCAGAACCTCACAACTGAAGATACACACACACACACCACTCTCTCTCTCTCTCTCTTTCTCTCTCTAAATGCAACCCTGGAGACTCAAAATGAACCTGTGGGGCATCCAATATCATTATTTTTCCATTATCTCTCCATGCATCTGAAGTGTGGTTTTTGTTAGTTACATAAAATTTGAACCATCTGAGTTGTTAAAGGTAAACTGGTCCTGGGAGAGGCTCCTAGAACACATGTTTTCAATTTGCTCTCTAGCCTGTTTTTGAAAGCCTAATTTTGCAAACAAGCATTCCCTCCCCAAAAGGAGGGGGGAGGAAATCAGTACCATCCTGTGGAACTGCAAGCGGCTGAGAACACAATCTTGGAGTACAGGGGAACCCAGCTGCTTTGCTAACTGTTTCCAATGACTAAATTACACAGCCCGTTGAATAATCAAGTAAACAAATCGTAAATTAACTGCTATGGAGAATAACTGTGTTACTTGCTAGGAAAGCAAATTCACCGGGCAGCATTAAGTGGTGGTGGGGGAATAAAGAAAGGTAGCACTCTGACCTTGAACTTGCCTTGGACTATAGTTGCATTTCAAGAGAATATTTGTAGAAGCACCAAACGTCTCATCGTGTTTAGGTTAATTTCTGAATGTGCCCACATTTGAAAAAGCTTGAAGGATTTGTTTTATATTTTTATATGGTTTGTAACTTTAGCTGTGGCCAGTGTTATCCTAACTAAAAATGAAACAAAACAACTAAATCACCAACCTTTGGAATGAATTTTGGAGGAAAAACGAGGCGCAGGGGGGACTCTGCATGTGCCCCCCCGTATCTCATTTTTGCCCATGGCCTCCAGCAGCACTCTGCTGGTCGAAAACAGGCCGCATGGACCATTTTGGGGGCTTTGGGGGCCCGTTTTTCAGCCAGCAGAGTGCTGCAGGAGTCCATGGAGGGTGAAACCAAGGCGCAGAGGGGCCACATGTGGCCCATTTTAGCTACCAGAGGCACTGCGGGCCAGTCCTTTGAAAGTTCCAGCCCAACCCCGCAGGCCGGATTTAACCTTGCAGGTCAGATCCAGCCCACAGGCCTTGTGTTTGACACCCCTGCTTTAAAAGAAAACATAATCCGAATTCCACAAGGCCATGCTTGATGTGCTTCAATGTACACTTTGTGTAGGAGGGATAAATTAATTAGAGGTCCAGCTTGGTGTCAGATCATAAACTTTTGGAATAAACTGAAGTTTTACTCTGAGAATTAGTCCTGTTAGATATGGGTTTATAGCTGTTGCTCCAGATAAACTATAAAGCAAAGACAAGGAGCCTACTGTGAAACAATTCACCACCTCCTCATATGCAACTTCCAAGTTAAGCTAATGCAGAAGATGAGAACCAACCAGTTCCACAAGATGATTTTCAGCATTTTCCCACTATTGTCAATGATTACATCAAGAATTGCTTTGAAATCCTGAACACAGGGAACCAATGAACCTTGGAATGAAATTTAAAAAGCTGCTAAGGAGGAATCTAAAGAGAGTCTGCCAAAGATGAAAATTCAGGTTGGGGACTTCCTGGAATAGGTCTAGCTATGCAGCTGCTAAGAATCAGTGTTAGATATGCATAAAGGACTTGTCTTTACGTAGCATATAAATCTGTATCTGCTGTTAATCAGAAAGAAATGTTTTTAAAAGCCCCTACCAATAGAAAGGCTTTAACATTCAAGTGATGAAAAAAAATTGACAAAACCTCAAAGAAAACCCACATAGCATTTGCATTATTTTTCCAAAAGGAAAAAAAAGGAAAACTCTAAATATCCATGTGGCAACCATTACATCTAGTACATCTCATTTTAAATCGTTAAAATAAAGTAGTTCCATATAAAACTTGTTATTAAGTACCATTGGTTTCATTGTAAATGCTAGAGACCTACTTGTGTACAATCTCTACCTGAACGAACAAGTGTCTACTCAAACAGTTGACAAATTATCAGAAAAGCTAAATAAACACAAATGAAACATATTTTGCTAATACAGTGCAACCTCATGAATCAAAACATTTCATATGCTGTGATATGGCTATATGGAACCACTAATCACTAATCACCTTGCATGTTAAAAGTTAACACATTTGACAAAGTTTTCAAGGGAGTAATTAGCAAGAGCAACTGAATGCATTTGAAGCAAAATCCTGTAAGAACTTAACAGAAAAAGTGGCTACATTTGATTGCAGTTTAGTCTAGTTCCCACATGAAAAGATGAACATTAAGTTTTTTTTAAGAATGTCACAATGACCAATTAGGAATAAAGACTCTACACCAGGGGTGTCAAACAGGTGACCAGTGGGCTAGAAGAGTCATACATAGGCCACGCCCACCCCCACGAAGGGGAAAAAAACGTTGTGAAACATTATGTGATGGCAATGTAATGCTGCCAGTTTGACACCCCTGTCCTACACTGTAGAGCCTCTTCTAAGGCCAATATGTAATTTTTGGCTTATTCTGTCTTAACAAATATTAAGGGACATATTCCAAAGCTTTTAGAACCTTTCTTTCTCAGTTTGGTGCCTTGGAAAAATTTTGTGTAATAGAGTGAGAAAATGCTACACAGCAGGTAAATTTACAATATAACACAAATCAAATGGAAATTCAGAGATGCCCAAAATCAAGATTCAACTCCAAATGGATCCCTTTTTCATATCAATGTACTATTAAATTATTACTAAATGTATCTTAAATCAAACTGGTTGTCTTTTTTTTTTTAATCTTAACTTTGCTTCCATCTTGTGGCCGCTCAGAATAATTTATTGTGATGGGCATCTAAGTTGAATTCTGAATCATCAACATTATATAAGATATATAAAATGTTTAAATATGTATGGTATTTAGGTTTCTTCGGGTATACCTAAATATATGATATCGGGTATACCATACATATAAATACTCGTGAAAACATAAGAAAACAAATGTTTAAATAGCGTATATTTCTGTACAATGAGCTACAGCCACATATTCTAGCACAACCATTGCAAATATGAAGCGATCACACTTATCCTATTCAACACCCTGTCACATGTTTCTTCTAGAGTCAGGGTTTGCATTGCTGGTATACAGTTGTTAGAGATATTGCAATTGTCTCATACTGTTTACCTTGACTTAGCATGTTGTGCAAAACCATGGATAGCTTTAATGTTACATGAAGAACAGAAGAGCAAATAATAATAGCCTGCCATCTATTGGAATGGAGCTGGTCAGTGCTTCTGGGAAAAAAAAAAAAACCACCTCTGTTCTCTTCAGTTCCAAAATGCACCTCTTGCTTAGCCCTCACCCCAGCACACTGGGTAATTTGCTCAATTATAAAAGAACTTTTGGAATAAAAACCAATGGGCATGAACTGAACACTCTTGTTTTGAAACCATGCCAATACACCCTCCCCATTTGGATCTGGAAACAAGCCTGCAGCATTTTCAGACTCCTTTAAGGAATGCTTAATCAATGGAGGGTTTTCCAGTTTTGGGGGCTGGGGAGCAGGAGGGCAAGAGAGACAATACAAAATGGGATTGTATAGCCATCTCTTCAAAACAACAGAGGACAAGTTAATCCTCCATTTGGAATAAAAACAAATCATGTAAGGCCTTTAGATCAAATGTAGTAGCAACGTAAACATCAGATACTTTTAAATGTTAGCAGTCTAGACAATACCATTATGACTCACGGCCACCACTTATTTTCACCATTCAATTACCATATTATTACAGTCAGTGCTACCTACTATATTTTTTTCATTTGTAATTTTAAACAAATAAGCAGTAGTAGTACCGGCTTTTGTAGACGTCCAGCTACATAAAGTGTCTTCCATCGCAACAAATCTTCAATTAAAGCATCAGTACTTATGACACCATATTTTATAACCTGGCAGAAAAGAAAGCTAAATTAGACAAATTTAATTTTGAGATAGGTTTAGCTCTACCTAAATCAAACATTGAAAAGTTAAAAATGCCAGAAGTCTTATTATTCTGACCTTTTTAAGAAAATCAGATTTTCATCTAATTTTGCAGGTCATTTTTCTGAAAAGCAACACATAGTACAGAGCAGGAACCTTTTTCCCCAGGAAATTTTGATTAAGGTGGCAATTTCTTTTTATTCTGCTATATACCCTTGAACTCAGATTTTTTTTCTCTTCCCTTATTCCATGGGTGTCAAACTTCATCACATTACATGACGTATCAGGATGCATCGGGAAGGTTTTTGTCTTTGCGGAGCTGAGGTGGGCATGGCCTGTGCGTGATGCATCCAGACCACGGGCCACCAGTTTGACACCCCTGCCTTATTCTGTAAGACTTCCTAAGAAGGTTGCTATGTTCCTGTGACTGGTTTTGAAACCCTCAGTAAATTAAAAAAAAAGAATGTATTCATTAAAAGTTTAATTAGAATAAACATTTCATTAATAAAATATCAGATCAGAATATCTCTAAAATCTGATTAATTTTAAAATTCAGTGAATATATTGCCTTCTAACAGCATTACAACACTGGAGAAAGATGATAAAAATCAGACAAATTCGAAATAATTTTGCATTTTTCTTAAGGTGTAAACAGGACTTACCCTCCCATTACAAGGCACCAATGTATTGTAGTAAATCCCTGCTCCATAGTTTTGGATGCTGCATATTGACTTGGTTCCAAAATATTTTAGGCAGGAATAATGGCTCCGATTTTTTGACAGGTTCATTGCATGCCATGTTGTAGAATCATCAACTGCAAATACAAAATCCAGCATATTGTTCTGCAAAGGAGAAGAAGGTACACTGACTTCTCTAGTTGGCAAAATCCACAACTCATCTGCTAACATCCAAATGTAATTTCAGGGGGTCTTAAGCACCAATCTCATTTTTAGCTCCTCCAAGAAGTGTGTGAGACATGATGGAGAATGTTACTTGGACAGCTCTATCTTCCGGTGTGAGGCAGGAAAGACGGAAAGACGTTTGTCATTAGGTTGTCAGATTAACAGAGCAAGTAAAATAGTTTGTAGGAACCCTAAGCCCCACCCCTTTTCCCCTTTGAGGAAGATTGGAACAAGAAACTCAATTCAATGCAGTTCCCTGCATTATCTATATAACTCCTTTCATAAATCTAGAAAATCATGAATAGTTGCCATCTTCAGCTATAATGGGCTAGCACTACTGTGTGTGTGTGTGTGTGTGTGTGTGTGTGTGTGTGTGTGTGT